GCTTGCTTCTCTCCTTGGCTAGTTTCCACCCGTTGCTTCTTCTCCTGCCTTCAGTCGCTTTGGAGAATAGCTTGACTCCCTCTTCTTTGGGGCAGCCCCTGAGATCCTGGAACGCTGCTATCATGTCCCCCCTCATCCTTCTCTTCATTAAACTGGACCTACCCAATTCCAGCAACCGTTCCTTATATGTTTTAACCTCCATTCCCGTGATCATCTTTGCTGCTCTTCTCTGCACCCTTTCCAGAATCTCAACCTCTTTTTTTACATCGTGGCGACCAAAACTGGATGCCGTATTCCAACTGTGGCCTTACCAAGGCCTTGTAAAGCGGTATTAACACTTCAGGTGATCTTGATAAAGTGGAACCCCTCCCCTGCTCTGTAAGAAGGATTTATCACCACCAACACCCAACTGCATGTCAGCTTTTGGGAGGTATTGGCCAACCATAACAGGGATGGCTGACCTATCAGCCCCCAAGGACCCATAGCTCATTTTCTAACTCCCCTTCAGCTCCCTTTTCTCATTATCCTCCCCGGCCCCAGGATCCCGCTTATCTTTGCTCTGCATTTATTTAGCACAGGGTTAGCATTCATAATGTCATAGCGATAAAAGTCAGCTGTCTCTGGCTACAATGCGGGTCCAAAAATATTTTGCTCATCTGCCAAGAGTTTCAAATCCACTTGGCAACTTTCTAATTTTAAATGCGGTAGCAGGAAGAGACTCCCTCGGTTTCTAGGCGTGCAAAACCACGAAAAATGCTTTCTTCGGTTTAGAACAGCAGCCGCAATCCGGAGAAGTTTGGCGAAGGAGCTTACTCAGTGGAGCAAGAGACCAAATGGTGTTTTTCTCCCCCCCCCGCCCAACCCGGTATTTGCTGCACCGGTCTTAATACTTCCCAGTTTGGGAAAAGCCTCTTATCATCTTAAAACGCATTTTTAGTGCCGCGTTTCACACTTGCCAGCTTCCAGATGTTTAAAGACATTTTGGCTAAACGTTCTGGGCATTGCCAATCTGGTGTGTTTGGGCTGGAAGGCAGCAGCTTGGAAAGGTCTGTTTTAAAGTTTGAAAACTGGCAGAAGAGGGGGAGGGGAGGGGAGGGGAGGAGAAAGAAGAGAGGGAGGGAGCAGGAGGACCGTGGGGTCCTTGGTGCCCTCTGAGCTGGGTGGTTTTCTTGCAGACGTTTCATGACCCAGCTAGGTAACCTCATCAGTGCTAGGAGGGAGTGGGTTTTATGGAGAGGAGGAGGAGAAAGAGGACTGTGGGGTCCTTGGTGCTCTCTGAGCTGGGTGGTTTTCTTGCAGACGTTTCATGACCCAGCTAGGTAACATCATCAGTGCTAGAAGGGAGTAAGGTTTGTGGAATGATGGAGGAGGAGAAGGAAGAGGAGGAGGAGGAGG